GCCTGGAATTCCCAGCCAAAAGGCTGCAAATTAAGTTCAGGCAAGCAGTCGTGGCACGAAACACAATGAGCAAAATCTTCAGAAATACGAACTGTTGTCTCCTACGACCACCACTCCCCTTTCCTTCTATTTATTCCCCAGCCAGGGAGGGGCCATTCAGCATCCACGTTTGCTTTGCTTCCCGAGTCGACTCCCTGTCCTCTGTTGTTCACCTCTCCTATCTGCGCATACGCGCATCTGGAACAAGCCCCTTCCTCCTCACTCATTTCAGCCTCCAAAGGCAGCTGCCTCTCCAAGAGCTGAGAAATGTCGGACGGCCCTGACTCTTTCTCTCTGTCCGACACCTTCCCCAGGCTCCAGCACTGGCCCAAGTTCCTCCCCAACCTCCTCATCGTCTGTGTCTGCCATCAGGTCCGCTGACCTGAGCCACAACAGGTTTCTCCATAGTAACCCTGCCGTGGGTGTGTAGGGTTTCAGTCTGTCTTTGAGTTTTGTGCTCGTTGTGATCTGGAGCTCCCCACCTTTCTTAGAGTCAGAAGCCCTTGCTGCCTCTTTTTTCTCCCTAGCAGACGTCACAATCTGTATATTTGGAAACACAACAGAGCAGATCTGATTCCCTCCCTCCTCCCAAGAGAAGACCCTTTGTTCGTCGTCCCCTGTTCCCTGCCACCTATGTCTCTCTAAACAGGTTCAACGTCTGGGCACTTCAAGCGGTTGTTTCTAACGCGGGCTTGATTCCAGGAGGAATGGCATTGCTTGGGTTTTGCAAGAAAGCAAAGAAAAGGAGATGCTTTAGTCACTTGAAAAGGCTCCAGTTTTTTCCCCAGCTAAAATAAAAGGTTTGCTCTCAAGCAAGCAAAAACATTGACCACTGAGGTTTACCTACTGTTTTCATCAATGTCTGACTGACATGTGGGAACCGGTCAAGCCCACGTTCCTTGTTAAGTCACTGCGAGATTCTTTTTGCTTTTTGAGTTGCAGGGAAGGAAGAGTTGCCTTTATGTCACTCTCCCTCTCTCTCTCTCTCTCTTTTTAGTTGGCTCCAAAGTGGATTTAATTAGGGAAGGATCAGGAAATAGTGACAATGTTGTGGTTAGTTGCAAAGTCGTGTCTGACCCATCACGACCCCATGGACAATGTTCCTCCAGGCCTTCCTGTCCTCTACCATCCTCTGGAGTCCATTGAAGCTCACGCTGACTGCTCCAGTGACTCCATCCAGCCACCTCCTTCTCCATCGTCCCCTCCTTCTTTTGCCCTCCATCTTCCCCAGCATCAAGCTCTTCTCCAGGGAGCCCTTCTTCCTTCTCATTAGGTGGCCAAAGTCTTTGAGTTTCCTCTTCAGGATCTGATCTTCTAAAGAGCAGTCAGGGTTGATGATCTCTAGGACTGACCAGTTGGATCGCCTTGCAGTCCAAGGGACTCAGTGCAGGAGTCTTCTTCTCCAGCACCAGAGTCCTTTGGCGCTCAGCCTTCCTTATGGTCCAACCTTCACAGCCATCGATTGCAACTGGGAAAACCATCGCCTTGACTAGACGCCCTTGTGTTGGCAGTGACAATGTAGGCTGCGTTTATTTCGTACGTCCCTCCCAAATCCAGGGAAGCTGCTCTGGAGAAGGGAATTGTAAGCTTCCTTTCACACCATATCAAGTGTTTCCTGCCATTTAACGAGGGGATATTTGGGATGCTGGGAATAATTACTTTAGAAAGGGGAGCTTGGAAACGGAAAATTATTAGAAACATATGCTGGCTTGCTTAGAGTTCCACAAAGGACTCGCTGCAGAGAAATTCTTCAGTGGAGCTGTGTATTCCCACCATGCATGTTGACTTCTGGCTCTTAAAACTTTCCTTTTTTCCTGGAGGCCTCCCAGCCTTCCGCACCCCACGGTGAACGTTTGTTGGACATTAGTAGGCCAATTATGAGTCTGGAGATAACGTGTTAAGTCCTTGTTTCTGGGTGTCGGAAAAAAAGAATGGTCTGGGCTTGCATGCTGTGATACTCAGCTGCGGTTTATTGGCTCACAACTCGAGTTGGCCTGGTTCCCGCTGAGCCGGAGGAAAAGTTCTCCTGTTATTAGCTGAAAACTGGGCCTATTCCAGATGTTGTGCTCTTCCCCCAACCCCAGCCAGGGGTCGTGGATAATGGCAATTTGTAGTGACCAGCACTGGGAAAGACCCTATGACTTGCCAAGAGTATCAAACGCACATCACGCTGGATGTGTGAGGTGAAGCGCTAATTCTGTTCTTCCCCTGTAGACATGAGCCGTCACCGTTACTCCCTCTACGTGCACAACTGCCGGTTGGTCTTCCTCTTCCGCCAGGATCCCTCCGAGGGGCAGAGTTACAAGCCGGCCGAATTCCACTGGAGGCTGAACCAGGTGGGCGCAAAAATACTTCTAGCCACCCTTGGTTAGCTTCCCCCGCGTGGAAACACAGCTCTTTCCTGGTTAGAAACTTCAGATTCGCAAAATGGGTGGCCTAAAGGGGGGCTGTAAGTTAGGCTCCTTGGGTTATCTACATCAGGGGTCGGCAACCCGCAGCTCTGGAGCTGCATGTGGCTCTTTCATCCCTCTGCTGCGGCTCCCTGTCGCTCAAAATATGTGTCACAGCCGCCAATGTGCAACACCCACCGGCACACAATTTGAGCTTTTCGGGGCCCCGGTAGGTTTTGTGGCTCCTGGTGTTTTCTTTTCCGTGGGAAATGGACCCAAATGGCTCTGAGTGTTTAAGGTTGCCAACCCCCGATCTAGAAATTGGTTGCCTGCTATCAAGGGTTCAAGACCATCCTACCTGGAGGCGTATGATCTTGAATTGCTATCTGTTTGCATTCGATTATGATCCTCCCTGGCCCATCAAATCCAGAGTGCAATCTCATTAAAATCTCCCTCGCAGATAACTGTCCTGCCTTCCCTTGATCACCTCCAGCAAAGGGTAACCCCATACAGGTTCCTTGTCCTGTCGGAGTATAACTTTACTGATAGAGCCATACAGGCACAGAAGTAGCAAAGCCAGTTCTGAAGATTTCCTGGGAAAACTGCATAGTTGAAGTCCTCCTTTTCCCCCACCTGGACCACCCACTGTCCATTGTCCACCAATCCAGCGCAATCCCTTTGTTTTGGGAGACAGTCTGCTCAGATCAGAAGCTTCTTATCGGTCGACCTTGAGGTGTTGAGATTCTCCCCGTCTACCGACGGTTCACATGAATTCCTCCATTCCTTCCCAGCCACCCATACATTCCAGTCATATCCCTCCCTGGTTGTTATTGTCTGGCTGCGAGCACAGCCAATCAGCCACGACAGCAATGAATCTTTCCCAGGTAAAGCTAGGAAGGAGTCCCATCCTTTGGGAATAATGAAATGTAGGTTTGCTTCCCTCCAGTCTTTTTAAACGCTTGGCTCCCCTTCCAGGTTTGCGATCAGGAATGGCACCACTACATCCTCAATGTAGAGTTTCCAGCAGCCACGCTCTACGTCGACGGCGTTTCCTTCGATCCCTTCCCGGTGACCGAAGATTATCCACTCCATCCCTCCAAGATAGAATCGCAGCTAGTAGTCGGAGCTTGCTGGCAAGGTAAGCGACAACCTAGATTTTGTCTTGATGACTTCTTTGTGGGCCGGGCTCCCCTTTGGGGGTTAAATGACCTTCAACTCATCCACCCAGCACTTTGTGGTAGGAGCAATGGGGCTGGTTGAAGCAAAGACATTCGAAAGAGTAGCTCGGATATAATAAGACATCAGATCACACAATAACTCTTTTTCCTGGTTCTCTCCAGCTCAGATAGCTGCCTTAATAATTCTTAATGCCTTAAGAAACACTTAATTTGTTGTCATCTTGAGAGCCGTTAGTTCTTATGGCCCGCCAGCGGCCAGCAGAGCTGGCAGCAGAGTCAAACAGTGAGAAGGTTGGGGAGGAACATGGGCCAGTCCTGGGGGCTGAGGAAAGCTCAGACGAGGGCTCTGCATCAGCCGGAGCTAGACAGCAGCGAAGCAGAGGAATAGCTGGAGCCTGTTCCCAGTGTGCGCATGCGCAGAGCTGCCACACAAGACAAGAACAACTAAGAAAGCAGGGTCGACCTGGGAGTAAAGCCACATCTTGGGGGTGATTGACCCCTTCCATAGGAAACAAAAGAGGAGCGAATGGGGAGGGGGCTTTTGCAGAAAGCAATTCGTGCTTTTAGTCGTTTCAAGGGTGGAAAGTTCTGTTTGTGACTATGAGAGACTCTGTGCCAAGTTTTGCCTTGCCCTGCCTTTGGAAACTAGTTATCTGGCAGATATCCAAGCGAGATAAGGTTCGTGTTGATAAATATTCCTCTGAAAGACTGTTTGCCTAGTCTTGCTGACTGTGAATGAAAGGAATTCGTAATCGTGTAAATAAAAGAGGTTTTCCCGGGACCCAGACTCTGCCTCGTCCTTGTTAAGGAAGCCTGGGTCAGAACATCGATGAAGAAAAACGTGGAGTGAAGAACTTGAACTGGGTCAGGAACATATAAAACCAGAAAGTCTCGTGAGAATGTTCTCTCTCTGGTTCTGCCTTTCCTGCGATAGGGGGGTTGATTGGGAAGTTTGCCAGGATAATAATTCACTGAGCGGCTGGATATGATGATGGCGATTTTGTTACAGAGGGGCCGTAAAAATGCAGCAACCAATGTTTAACTAACATTCAAAGCAGGTTAAAACAGGTTAAAGCAGCCCTTCCCCTCGGGAACTGCATCAGCCTGAGTCATAACCTCAAAGGTGCCCGAAGGCTTTGTGTCTCATCGGCATCCTTAGAAAATGGATGCTTGGATTAGTCTTAAGAAGGCAAGCACTGCACCAACATTCTTGCACTGTAATTCTTCCTTTTTAAAATAAAAATAAGTCCCCTAATGGCACAGCTCTTTAAGGACAATCAGGTTAGTGAGGGAAATGATTTTTCCTTTTCTGTAATCCTTCGCTTTCTATTGCTATTGTGTGCGAGGTGCCACCAGAAGCTCACACAGGAATTTGATGACCGTAATTGAATTGTATAAGTCAATAGTGGGATTAGGTTTAGTGCTCGGTCGAACTTTAGCAGGAAAGGAGGAAAGCAGCTGGAGAAAGACATCCCCTTTCTCTCTTCCTGCGACGCCACGGAGGTAAAACGGCTCCAAATTCATCCTTGGGTTTAGATGCTTTTTGGCTTCTCCTTCAGGGAATTAGATCAGGAGATGGGGAGTCGCCCCACAAAAGCCTTGGAAACTTTGCTTGGCTATTTTTATTTTACATATTTAGAAAATTGATATTGTTGTGGCCTGCCAGCAGCCAGCAGAGCTGGCAGCAGATTCAGACAGTGAGGAGGTTGGGGAGGAAGATGGGCCAGTCCTGGAGTCTGGGGAAG